ACCTGCTGTCTCCTACAGAAGGAGCAAATAGCAGGAAGACAGTGTTCCATCTTCCAAGCTTGCATGTCACCATAAAGACACATGAGCTTCGTGAGAAGCAAAGGGTACTACATGCATGTCTGTTACGACATGGGGAGAAGATGGAGAAAGCTCAGTGGGATCATAACACAGACTCGAGTTAGAAAACATGGAAGTTACTCAGCAACAGGTGATAGAAAGCGGACAAACAATCATTCACACACAGGAGCAGGTTAGGACCTTAAAAACATGCCTCGGTGGCTTCCAGAGTAGTTCTATACATACCATTTGTGTCAAATAAAATATAATAGAACACCACACTATAAGTTATTTATTCAAATAAGGACAGGTACGGGGAACTTTTTAAAACCGTTCCCCAGCAGGAAAGGAGGCGCTAGAGTGGAGAATTAAAATAAACATGAGACAAACACAGACACCTATGAACTTGTGCATGAACCAGGAGAGAAGGGGAGAGATGGGAAGCGGGAAAAGAGAGGAAGGGGAAAGCTTTTGTTAAATTTTAACTGGAAGTTCGTATTAGCCATGTTGCAGCGCCATTTTGTTAGGGGTAGTTTTTCCGCCGTCTGGTCCCACCCCCTCGCCAGCCACAAATAACACACAGAGACGCTGTGTTAGATATAAATCTGTTGGCCAGATTCTTGTTTCTTATTGGCTAGCTCTGTCTTGATTATTAACCCATTTCTATTTCCACGTGGTCTAATCTTATGGGAGAGAGGGGCTGGAGTTCTGCATTCTCCATCTTCCATCTTGAATCTCCTCCCTCCTACTTCCGGAATCCTCGTCTCCTAGTCCCTCCTCTCTTGCTTTCCTATTGGCCAACAGTGCTTTATTCATTAACCAATAAGAGAAATATATTTGCAGAATGACATCTCCCATCAGGGGAGGGAAGTAATATTGCTAATGAACAGCATATGAGGGGAAATTGTCAGGGCCCAGAATTAACAAAACACGTCAGCTATAAAATAAATAAATTGTGCCAAATCTGGCTGAAGTCCAAGCATCCAAATAATGCTTCATTCAGATTTGTACCTTCTCAGGTGGCGGTTAACAGTGACTCTGAATCCATGTTTAATTATCCTGGTGGTTTTGTCTTGTAAATTTGGACAAATGAATGCAAGACCATCCTGTGATGGATTCTATTGCCCAAGTCCTTTAACGTGTATCCGCCCTGCCCCCCTTACCCAACACTTTACAGTCACAGACCCCCCCCCCAGGTCTGTGAGCTCTAGAGATAGGCCAGCCCATGGGTGACACAGGAGTAAACAGAGGAAGCTGCCTGGGCACAGATGGGAACTGGTGGCATTCTAGAAGCTTCTATTTATTCCAAATACCTCTTTACTTAAGGAGAGTGATGGTGTTATTATCTTGGTCAGAATTGCAAAGACCTCATGGAGGTATTTTCTTGGTTGTCTAATGTATTTGTTTTATTCCAGGAACATAAATATGAATTTTAAATGAGTTAATGCACAAAATGTTTTGAGGGTGCGCGCCATCCAAACAACATCTATAATAATCATTACAGGTGCCAGCCTGGGTAATGTTCCTTTCAGAAGTGAGGAATGCTGTCTTCCATGTGTACCTTCAGGCACGAGGCCATTCTTCAGATCACCTAAGGCCCACAGGCCATGTCTCCCATTTTCACAAGTCATTTCCCTGAGAAAAGACCCCTGGACGGTCCTGTAGCTCTGTGTGACAACGTCCATGTAAAAGGAAGCCATCTTTCCATAGAGTGCAGTGAAGACATTCCCAGAAAGGTGAAGCAGAAGGCTCTCGTGACACCAGCACGGAGCACGATATTTTGCCCTGGATTTCCTTACAACATGAACCTGACATCTCTTTACAGTGTGCTTGTTTTTAGGAGGATGGTGACTCATCACTCCCAAAGAATGCATTCAAGAGAAACAGGGACATGTGTCTCATTACCGGAGAAGGCTTCCTTTTAAAATAAAGATTTCTTAAACTTCTTAAATTTACCGTGTGCAGAGAATAAAGCAAAGCGATGTATGGGGTGGGGGAAGCAATCCTCTGGCTAGCCGCAATCTGCTCGCATATCCCTGTGCATACATTTGGGACAATAATTAGCAGTTAATAAAACATGCTTTTCCTGGCAGATAAATGGTCTTGGGGCACCCTTTATCTGCCTGTTTTTGTGAGAACGAGACTCAAGTGGTCCTGACAGCTAAGAACGGACAGAAACACCAGGAGAGCTTATACAAACCTGCTGTTTTAAAAACTATCGTTCAGAAAATTAAGAAAGGAAAGAAAAAGAGAGAGACAGAGATACTTGCTGTTAAACAATTTTCAAAAACTCTGAATTCTGATACCAACGGTCCCATCACATTTTGCCCACGCAGGTAGCCGTATGCCACGAGCAAAGCCACGAGAGGGAACGGGCGAGGTCTGAAATGGGAACCAGACGTCCAGCCCTCCCTCCCTCCCGTGTGAGCCTAGCACTCTGCACCAGAAATCGCTTCTCTCCTCAAATGAACAAACGGACCACGGGGCAGACACTAGGTATTTGACAATGCTCGGGTGAGAGGGTGGCAAGACTTGAATACTACAGCTCCCTCCACCTTTGTGGGCTCTGCCACCGCGGCCGCCAACCCGAGATACGGCAGACAGGAGCAGAGCAGCGCCGACAGAGAGAAGACTTGGATGTGGTGAGGCATCCTTACACAGTCATCTCAACCACAAGCAGAAGAGCAAAGCCTTGCGGAAGAAGGCTTCACTGAGGAAGAACTAGCAGGCTGGGAAGATGGGAAGAGGCAAGGGGAGGGAGTCGGCAGGGGCTGATGAGGAGCTTTAAGTCCTTGGGGCCTGCAGGAGGACAGGGGACTCAGACAGGCGCTCTACACTGCAATACAAGCACTTCTGTGGCAGGAAGTACTCCATGCCTCCAACTGGTTGAGCCTAGGGTTTAGGGAAGGTGTGATGCGTGCGTCATGTTAGCTTTTGGAGTGTTTCCCCAAAGCTCTTTAAGTATGCCTATGGCTCTATGTATGTACAGCCTTGCATTAATCTCATACGCCTCTCCGTACCTCCACAGGTATCAATCCCCTGTTGTTTATGGGCACATCCTGCTGGCCTGTCCCTTTCTGGACTATGAAGCTGGAGGAGAGCTCTAATTGTAGTAGTTTCCTGTCCTTTGGAAAAGACCACTGCTTAAGTCACAGCTCAAACTCCGCTGAGCCCATTATATTTTCTCTTTTTCAGCCTTTATTAATTTCCCCTGTAATAAGGTTACATTTTAAAGCTACTTTAATATCAGTACTTTATTTTCCTACGAAATCAATAACACTTGTCACAAGTTACTAAATGCACTCTGTCTGAGGGAAAGGGTTAATAAAATACCCTTTTATCTGCTTTCATGACAGTCTGATCCACTGAGGTCACAGCTGTCAGGAGACAAAACTCCCTTAACTTCTATTTCATAAAATTAATCTACTTCAGAAAAAAAAATTACTTGTCACAATACAAGTCTACCTTCTCCTTGGCTTTTGATTTATATTCCCTCAGTCTCGTTTATCGGTATTTTTCTCACGTTCTTACCTGCTGAAACGCCAGTGCCTGGTAGTGGGAGAAAGGACAGACAAGGACAGTGACATGTGCCGGGCCTTAGGCAAGGCAGAGTGTGGCTAAGTCCACCAACCAAGATGCACAGGTTGCTCTACAGAGGACAAAGCATGGTGTATCCAGCAGAGAGCCGGGAGAGAGAGGCTTAGAGACAGAGCAGACCCAGGAGCAGGAGGCTACAGAATCCAACTTCTACCTAAGTACAGAAGAGGCTGTGCCGCAGCAAAAGGAAGTAAAGAACTCCAGGCAGCATTAAGCAGGGTGCCCCAGGGCCCAACTCCTGATAATGAACTGCTAGGGACTCACCCTACAGCCAGGAGAACAAATCCAGACTAGAATGAACTTTTCCTGAATTGTAATCACAGCCCATGTAAACACATAAAGAATGCAGCTTAAAAGATAAGACCGTCTAGGCCTGCGGAGATGGGTCAGCAGGGTTAGCTCAGAAGTGCCATAAATGCTGGGTGGGCACAACGGGCCTCCTGTGGTCCAGCTTTCAGACACCTGACAGACACAGGATTCCCAGAACAAGGTGGTTGGTTTATGAGATGCGCCATCACGGAGAGCCCTGGGTTTGACGGAGAGACCGTGCAGCAAAGCACAAAGTGGAGTCAGCAGCGTAGGTGTGCAGACCTTTAATGGGAGGCAGAGGTGGTGACAGATTTGTGCCATTTGTAGGGCAGAGGTAGAAAAGAAAAATCTTTAAAAGAATAGATCCCTATTTGAGTCTAATTTTCTTCCTATCCCACTAAATAGGACTTTTAGAAAGCTGCTTCCATTTTTATTTTCTAAGTTTTATGTTATAAAACATTATAAGAAGTATTTTACACACATGGTACACCTATAAAGGCCTTTCAATTGATGGCTTAATTAATGTAGAATAGCTTATTATTCTGGCTCTTAAAAACATCAAAAGAAAGAAAAGCTCAAACAGAGACCAGCACTTACACAAAATAATGAAAAACTCCGAAGCGAACAGGGTGTTTCTCTGTTAGTGTAGATATGGCTTGTCTATCTCTATCCGCTAATAATCAATTTTACAGTCCGAACACCATTTATAAACCCGTCACAGCAGTTGTTCACGCACTGAAGCACTCACCAATCTCTTTGCTTCTGCTTTGGAGACTCTGGAAATAATAGTAACCTCGGATCGGGGGACACCCCCACAGTGCAGGCCTGTGGCCCGCCCTGTTCTGAGTCTACCACACAATTAGCAAGCTACGTTTACTCAAGAGTACTTTTCCTCCAAGATACATCAAGGAGCATAAACGGCTGGCAGCTGACGGAGAACGCACAGGGGAGCACTCATGGGGGAGCACTCATAGGGAGCACACCCTGGGGGAGCACTCACGGGGGAGCATTGATGTGTGGAGGTGCATGGTCAGTACCTGAGCGTGAAGGAGTTCCTCACACCTGTGAGCTTGTTTCTCGATTGCAGACACGTACTGTTTCTCAATGGCATCTAACTGTTGCTTGACTGAAGACTGCAGAAGTGCCTAAAAACAAGCAAAAAAAAAAAAAAAAAGATTATTTGGATAAGACAATCCCTGGCACTTACTACTGGCATGTGAGTGTTTGACAGCTCTGCATCTCAAGTAGGGCAATCTGCACTCCAGAACCCACATGCACGAAGTGGGGTGCGCTGACACGGGACATTAAGCGTCTATCCTTAGGTTTTATCGCTGTCAATGCTACACTCTTTTGGCACAACAGCCACACCTCACAACTGCCACACCTTCTCCTTAAAAAAAAAAAAAAAAAAAAAAAAAAAAAACACAGCCAAGCCATAGAAAATGATAAAGAGAGTAAATAGTCCTGTGAAATAGAAATTCAGCTCAGTAGAGAGAGACCACACAGGATGAAGAGCGAATGGAAGCTGGTGGGGGAGGGGGGAGGAGGGGAAAAAAAAAAAGCCAGACATATTTCACTAGCTGACAAAACTCCACATCCTCTGGACACACTGCAGTAGCCATGGGCCAAGCATGATCTTCGAGACCACAAGGCAAGTGGAAGCAGATGGCGGCTCTGTGGGACCCAGACAGTAAAGCCTGCCCCCCCACCCCACGGGAGGATGCTCGTGCCCCCAAGATGAAAGGGTGGCGGTTAGGTGCGTGTGAGCCAGCCATAAAGCGGTATTCACAAGGGTCAGCGGGACTCGTGAGACCGAACAGCAGTGTGGGTGCCGGGACGGGACATGAGATGTCACCTCCCCAAGGAAGCCGGGTCAGCAGGTGGTGCCAAAGTACCCCATCCCCTCCCTGGACGCGTCTACATGCTGCAGGCTTTTCTCTCTTCTGTTCCAAGCACTGTGTGATTCTACCATATTCCCATAATATCTACTTGCTATTTATAGATTCTAACATCCTGAGTGCGTACAAGGGCTACTCAGCGCACGCTCTGCTGTTGGACCTATGGTATAATCAACTACTCACGGTCGGAACGGCAACTGAAGGCAGACACTTCTTATGGGAAACAGACCTTTGGCATATTCACCAGCAAAAGAAAAGGGAGCCAAATCTCCTAATCTTTGTTTTGAAAATAGACTCATTCAGTTGGAAACAACAGGCATCGAAATCCTAAATAAACAGTCGTGCATTTTATTTATTTTATTTTATTAAAAACAAGACTAAAAATATGTTTGAGACCTCTGGGTAAGTGTCAGAGGCTCAGAGAGTGGGTTCTCTTGCAGTGAGAGATGTCCCAGCCTCACATCTGGTCCTAGCAGAGGGAAAGGACACAGTGCTCCTGAAGACACCTCAGGCCCAGGCTGAGAACCTACTTTAGAAGCATAAGGAGTGATGGACAGAGAAATCAAATTAAGCCTCTGAGCTGGACTAGATGCTGTAAATCTCCAACTTTCCTGTGGCAAAATTGAGCATTTGTTAGCTTAAAAATTCTTTTCGGTGCTTTGTTTAGTTTGAAACAGGGTCTCATTATGTGGCCTTGGTTGGCCTGGAACTCACTCTGTAGGCCAGGTGAGCTTTGAACCCAGAGAGATCCACCCGCCTTTGCCTTTCAGTTGCTACAATTAAAGGTCTGGCGCCACACTTGTCATAAAAAGAAATAAAAGAATGATATAAACAATTTTCTTGAATGATTGCAAGTATTTCATAAGGAATGCCTTCTTGTTTCGAGGTAGGGTGTTAAGCAAGCCCAGGCTGCCCTCAAACTCACTACGTAGTTAGGTTATACTCCCGCACCTACCTCCCAAGTCCTGGGAGGACAAAGTGTGTGTACCCACGCCTGGCACAGCTCCCATTCTTCTCTGGAATGTGGAGTGTGACAGAAACGCCCAATCGAGAGAGCTGTTTTCATTTCCCTATGGGCTGTGGTCCCGAGCTATCCCAAATTCAAATGGCCAGCTCTAATTTCTAGTTAGTTATGCTTTTAGGGAGAGAAATAATAAAACAGTCCCTTCCATCGTGGAGACAGGAGTCACATGATCCTTCCTCTACCGAACACTAGTTGTTGAGGAAGGCACCCACGAGAGCTGCTTGAGCAAACAGCCCAGTTGCGTGCACACAAGTCCCTCTCTGCAGGGGAGGCAGACAGTGCGCACTCCATTTTAAAGACCCCAGACTGCGGAAAGACGGAGGACGAGCACTCTCCACCATGCACGTGCGGACATGGAGGCCTGCCCATAGGCTCAGCACACAGCTGTTGCATGATGAAAGCCAGAGGCCAGAGCAGAAGCAAATACAGGAAGGTAGAGTCTGGGCAGTGGAGGCAGGAGGCCACGGGAGCCACAGCAAGCCCTGACAGACCTTCTCAAGGAAGTTAACACTGGGAGGCTTAGTCCTGGGCCCAGGAAACTCCCCCAACGCCACCCCTCCATCTCAGTCTTACACAGGGTAGACGCATGAAAACATTCTCACAGCAGCCGCTTGCATCTCTGGCTTCTCCTGGGTCATATATATATATTATATAAGACAATGGTTGTCTTGCTATGCAAAACGTTCATGGATTTTTTTTTTAAGACCAAAAAAAAAAAAAAAAAGAGAGGTACCAATGTTAACTAATAACTAATGCTAATATTCCTAATTTGTGGTGATTTATTATTTATGATTTATTAAAGTTTGCCTGATGATTCAGAAAGCAAAGTCAGCCTCAAGCTATAGAGCTCAGGCAGTGGGGATATAAAGCTTTAATCCCAGCAGGCAGAAGCTGGGAGGTGGCGGTACCTTTAATCAGAATTAAAAGGTTAATGGATCTCTGTGAGTTCAAGGCCACACAGATCTACACAACTGATCCAGTCCGAAAGAGAAACAGCTTACACAAAGGTGATCTCTGCACCTGGGCTAACAACCTTTAATTCCAGCACTAGAGGCCATAAAAGATAGGAGCAGGGTCTTCAGTGGTCAGTAGCAGGCATTCGGTCTCCAGCTAAGCTCAGGACAGAAAGACACTGATGTCTCAGGATTCTCCAGCCACACTGAGGAACGGACTGGTGAGGCTCATGGAGACAGGTAGAGTAAGAGCTAGTGGCTTTGTTGCTTTCCTTTTCTGATCTTCAGCCTGAAGCCTGAACGCCAATATCTAACTCTGGGTCTTTTACTTTTTGTGTCTTCTGTAATTGTCTTTACAGATAAACCGCATGGAACAAGCGCTCCAGTATGGATTAAAGATTTCCAGTTCCTTCGTCCTGGCTCCTGGTTCTAGTCTCTACCACCCATCAGGAAAAGATCATCCTGGCCTCATATGTTCAACCTCTGTGGAGAAGAGCCCCTGTCTTAGGAGTAAAGACCACAGGTCTGAGGAGAAGTAACAACAGATCTGAGTCTGTTTCTTTTTAGAAAAAAGAAAAGAAAAAAAAAAATCAAGTGAATTAAGACATCAGGTTTCTCCATCTCTCTCCTCTCTCTCTCTCTCTCTCTCTCTCTCTCTCACTCTCTCTCTCTCTCTTTCTCAGAAGAGTGCCAGCCAGGTCACGCAAAGGCTGCCAACAACGTCTGTCACCATTTTGGGTGTGTGGAGAGGTGCTGGCATTCAGGCTTTAATGCAGACTGAGGACCAGTGCCGCATTAATACACAATTCAAAAGAAATGTTGGCTGATGGGCGCCGATCTTAGCAGAAATTCAATACAGTCTAGCCATGTTATAAAGTGCTTTGGAGGCTGCGAAGGCCAAAGAAAGCCTTCAGGACAGAGGGAATGGTTCCTGCTGCCCTTGCCATTACAGGATTCTAGTAACATAAGAGCTGTTACCTCAAACACCACACAAGTCTCCCAGTGAAAATTTCTTTTGTGCCATGGACAACACATTAAAATTAAGAAGTTTCTAAAATTAAGCCCAGCACAGAGGCCGTGCACGTCTGCCTTCCAGATACTTCAACCTCTTGAAAAGCCGCCACACACAGGCCGGCCTCCCTCCCCGATGCCACAGGCTCACTCCTTGTGACTTGATTCACAGCTACGGTTTCAGCTGAGAGAACAAAGGCGGGGAGGAAGGAATGATCTCCCCTTTCTCCTAAGTCCTCAGGGGACCAGATGAAGGACTTGGTTACAAGTTCAGGAAGCCTGAAACAGTGGCAAGAAAGGCATCGGCTAGGAGGCTGGAATGGCCAGGTCTGGACTCCCCCAGGCACAAGCAAGCCCTACATCCGGGCAGGAAGGACCTCCTCCACTCCATCTGTTCACCTGCGTTTATCAGCGCTGTGCCTCTGTGTCCCAGACATCGGCGGTGGCCACTGGGAAGAAGTGTAGAGCCTCCCTGTCGGTGGCGATGATGCTCTCTTTACAGTGGTGGTGGCTTCACGCTTCTGATGGATGACGCTGCAAAACGGGATTGCTCTAACAGTTCCTGATTGCTTTGTGCTTTAAGTTCCCCACTGTGTACACATAAAATAGACTCTTGGAAACAAATTGGAGTCGCTATCACTTTCAGTAGTTGTTAAGATTTAAAGGATTTTAAGTCATTACTATTTTTTTTCCCCCAACTTGGTGGGATCAACTCAGGAAGTGCAGGTCTCTGGGGAGAGGAGAAACGGTTCCTCACATGGAACCTTTGCCAAAACTGAGAGCTGTGAGGCTGGACTCAAACAGACCCATTAGAGCAGAACCAGAGACACACCAGAACAAAGTGACTGCATGAAAGGCAGTACCTGAAACCCATAAGACACGCTGACTTATCACTCCTGGAAGTCAGGACTCAGGCTTCCCCAGGACATAGGAGCAAGCGATGCGGTCACTCACAGCTCACACGCCACTAACTAGGACGGAAAAATCTCACTCTCAACAGTGTGGGGTGGCAGCCCTGCCTTCAACCCAAGCTGGTCTTTGCCCACAGACTTCCTAAATGGAGGAGGGACACATGGATACCTCACAAAATAACGAAACCAAAGTGTGCTGGTACCGGGAGAAGATAAGGGTCACTGGCTACTCTTCCACGGAAATCCCTCCTCGACACTACAAAGCAACCCGACAACTCTTCACAAATCGGAGGATTTTCCAAATTATTCATTGTGTATGCTGGCATGTCCAAAACAACAGTAGCTTTA